AGGGCAACAGGTCACGGCATCCTGGAGAGACTCCATGGGCTCTGCACCAGCAGCGGGATGGGAGCAGAGCCAGGCCCGGTGCTCCAGAGGCAAAATTCCCTCCAGGAGCCACCACCTTCCCTTTGGCAAACGCCAGATCCCTCCCCGTGCTCTGGCGCTCCTCCCTGGGCGGGCTGCGCCGTCCAGAACATCGGTTCTGATGCTGTTAATGGGCCTTGGACTGAGATCTCCGGGAGTTGTTTCCTGCTCCATCTCCTGGCAGGAGCAAGCGGAGTCACCTGGGCTCAGCATCCTGGGCTGCATCCCCTTGGAGGGGTGCTAAGAACAGCCTCAATTTTTGCCGTTTTTCCACAAAGAAAATTCCCTCTAAGCAGAATTCTTGCCTCCTTTCCTGGCAGGATTCTTTCCCCCCTTCAGAACCCAAACTCAGCAGAGCTCTCCGAGTTTTTCCCGTTCCCCCTTCCCTCCCCGCCCACAGCAGCTGCCTGGAGCTGTGCCCGGTGTTTCCCCGTTTCGGGTGGGATTTGCTCTCAAGTGTGGAACAGTCCCGGCCAGGCTGGGAGGAGGCTCCTGACCCCTCCCCTGAGGCTCTCCCCGCTGCCCTTCCCGGCTTTCCAGCGGGCACTGGGAGCTGGCAGCCGGCGGCCGGGATAACCTTGTGGCTCGGAACATTGCAGCCATCCCTCTTCTCCCATCAAGCGTTCATTTAGGAAACATTTCGCTAAATACCCACCTGACAGCCCGGCCCCGGGAGATTGATGCCTCCAGAGCCTCTGAGAGCTCGGTGCCAGCGACTTTAAAATGTCACAACGACACCCCCGGGGCGCTCAGGTCCCCTCCCGGTGCCCGGGGGAGTGCCCGGAGGACGCTGTGGTGCCAATGCCCATCCCAGCCCCCTCAGGCTGGCAGGAGGTCCCTGGGGCTGTCCTGAGGGATTTGAGAGCACCCAGCACAGGTTTGTACCTTCCATGAGGTTTCCTCATCCCTGTCAGCTTTCCCACGGCTTTGGGACATCCCCATCCCATCTCCAATCCCATCCCCATCCCATCCTTCCCACTCCTGTGAGGGATCCCTATCCCATCCTCATCCCCAATTCATCCCATCCCATTTCCAGCCCTGTCCCCATCCTCATCCCATCTCTATCCCTGTCCCTGTGTCATCCCCATCCCAATCCTCATCCTCATCCCATTCTCATCCACATCTCCCTCCATTCCATCCCCATCCCATCCCAATGTTCGTCCTCCTGCCATTCCTACTTCATCTTCATCCCATCCCAATCCCATTCCCATCTCTTCCCAATCCCATCCCATTCCCATTCCCATCCCATCCCTCAGGGCAGGAAGGAGCGCAGGAGCCTCGGCTGGGAGGGGGGCAGGGGGGAGCCCCTCAGCGCTGCCACGGGAGGGATAAACAAGGAGCAGATTAATTAAAGCTCACATTAATCAGTCTCATCCCCGTGCCAGAGCCACTTCAGTCCTTTTCCTTTCCATCCCCTCAAATTCCTGAAAGAAATGAGGATGTTGATGTTGGGATGTTAAACCAGAGCAGGGGCACTTGACAGTGAGATCGCTCTGAAACTGCAAATGAACCACAGAACACCAGGCCTGGATCGAGCTTCTCCTGCCTCATTAGTGGGATCAGCTAATTAGGAAAACACCTGGGAGTGTTGGGAAAATGCTGCTGTCTCCAGAGGGACAAAGGGACAGAGGGGAGGGATGGCAATGACCCGCTGGCAAGGCTGGCCCGAGCCCCGGGTGAGATAAAGGGGGAATTGTGGAGAGGAACATTCCCAACATCCCAGCGGCCGGGGCTGGGATTTTAACTGGAATCTCTGGCCTCCCCCCATCGTCTTAGGACTGAGCTCTGAGGAAACTCCAGAGCTTCTCCCATAAAATCAGGGAGGGAATTCAGCACAGGGACCGTGGAGCAGAGCCAGCACGGCTCATCCCAGCCTTCATCCCGTGAGGAAGAGCAGTGCGGCTGAGCTGAGCTCCGGGAAAGCTCCAGCGGGGATCCCTGATGAACAAAAACCCAGTCAGGGTTTTTAAATGCAATTAAACCGCTTCATTTTCCTCCCGCCCGCCCTGCGCCGCCCGCCCACCCCCATCCCCGGGGAGCGGGAGCCGGGATCACCGGCGGCCCCATCCCTGGGGAAGGAGGCTCCAACACTTCCCTGTGGCTGCACAGGGAGCTCCGCTGGGGATTTGAGGGGAAAAGCCCAGAAATTGGCCCTGTTATTCCTGCTGGGATTCGGGTGGTGACAAGTTAATGAGTTTCCACCCCAGGGCCTCTGGAGAATTAATTGGGAGGGAACTTCGTTAACATCGAGGAGCAAATTGATCTGTTAAAGAAAAAGGGAGGAGATTTTTAATCAGGCTTTGCTTTTTTGGAGGTTGTTTCTCCCAAAAAGCCACTTGTTATTATCAGCGCTTCCCCCTTGGAGTGCTGGGATCTCAACCGCAGTATCAGACCCTGGAGACAGATTCCTGTACTCCAGCCCCATCCCGAGCTCCAGGGGAGGAGGGAATTTTAGCGGAGTTGGAAAAATCCACCCCCAAGCCACGACTCCGCGGGGGGAACGACCCTGCCCTGGGAGCTGAGACCCCACAGCGCCGGGATTTGCTCCTCCCTGAAATCCCCTCTCCGGAGCGTGGCCGTGGCGTTTTTCCTCTGCCAGAGAGGGAAATTTCTGCCAACTAAAAAATAGCTTAAAGGGGACCCCAGCTGGTTAAGCCCAAGGGCGGCTGCAGCGGCAGCGCGGTCGGGAGGCAGCGCTGGGCTCTGGGAGCCGGGTCCTGGCTGATGCTCCGGGGCCGATGGAGGTTCCGCACACGGGGGTTGGAGCAGCCCCAAAATTCCCGGCAGGGGTGAATTGGATGAGGCTGAGCACGTGTTCTGCGACTGCAGGAGGCGAGCGGGGGCTTAGAGAAGCAGTTGTTTGGAGCAGCAGGAATCCTATTCCAAGATTTTTGGGGTTCTTGTGACAGTGCCAAGACGAGAGGCACATCTGGAGCCTGTCCAGCTGTGCCTCAGTTTCCACATCGCTCTGAGGCATCCTTGGTGTCCGGTGAGAAGCTGGGAGGTGCCGACTGTTCCCCTTTTCTCTCTCCCACCCTGTTCTAGCTCTGGGAATCGCGTTCCTCCGGCCCCCAGACCCTTCCCTCCCACCACAGCACCTCCAAATGTGCGGAGCAGGAGCCTTGGCGGCCTCCCCGTGCCACCGTCCCCACCTCCAGAGATGTCTCCCGGGCACAGGGGACACTGATCCCCCATCTCCCAGTGACCCACGGTCTGCTGGGACAGCCCAGCCCAGGGCAGGTGGACAGCGGGATTTGGGAGGGGGGATGTGCCCGGGGCTGGGAGCGTTCCTTGCCTGAGCGCAGGGATGTCACAGGGACACGGATGTCGTGTGGACGTGGCACGATGGGGACCTGCCCTGGCGCAGGAGCTGCGATCAATCAACGTCCGAGTGAGAAACAGAGGTGAAAAATGTGACCAAGGTTGGGGACAAAAAGGAGATGATTGGAAAAGGTGACGGGTGGAAGATTCCGCTCCTGGCCCCGCACCTGCCTCTTCCATGGGTCATTTTCTCCCCGCTGTGAGAGCAGGAGGTCTGGCTCCTGGGGTCCCTGCCACCCCGCAGCACCGCGGGGACATCGCGGTGACGGCTGGCCCAGGGTGACCGTGCAGGGGCTTTGGGGCGGTGGCAGCCAGGGGTGCCAAGTGTGGGGACACAGAGGTGACAACTGCCCGGGCATGGGATGCCACGCGCAGGGACCTGACGGTGACGACCGTCTGCGTTTGGGGTGCCACATGCAGGGGATGGCCTCTCGGGATGGTGACAGTCCCAGAAACCTGTAGGGACCCTGGGACCGTGACTGCCCCACGAGCAGGGCGCCGTGCGCAGGGACCCGGAGGCGGTGGCAGCCTGGGGTACCTTGCGCAGGGACCTCGGGGTGACAACTCCCTGGGCACGGGGTGCTGCGTGTGGGGACCCCGGGGTGACACCTGCCGGGACAGAGGGTGCCACAGGGACCCCCAGCCCTGCCTGCCGACCCCCGGTGTCCCCCGAGCACCCCCCGCGGCACCAGCACCTCCCACTCCCCCTCCCTGCGGCCCGGGACGCTCCCCCGTCACTGCCGCACTGCCCCCCCTCGCCGCCCCCCCGGGGGGAGGCCCCACCTCCCCCCCGCCCCCAGCCCCATTTCCCGGGCGGGACCGTTCAAAACCCGCCCGGCGCCGCCGCTCCCCGGATTCCGCCGCCGCTTCCCGGGGCCGGGGCCGAGGATGCTCCGGCTGCCGGCGGCGGCGGGGGGGCGGCGGGTACGCGGCGGGGGCTGAACCGCGGCGGCAGCGAGCCCCGGCCTGCCCGGGACACTTGGCGGGGAGGAAGAAGAGCAAGAGGAGGAGGGAGGAGGAAGACGAAGAGGCCGCCTTCAGCCTCGGCCCCGCCATGCCGGGCCCCACCGGGGAGCGTGGCCCGGTGGCAGCGGCTCCCCGGGGGCTGTGAGCGGCCCGGGCCCGGCGGAAGGGGAGCCCCGGGCGGAGGTGGGGGGGGGGGGGTCCGGGCGGAGGGGGGGCCCCGGGGGGGGGGGGGGGGGGGGGGGCTCCGGGCGGAGGGGGAGCCCCGAGCGGCATGGCCAGCCCCGTCCGCCCCGCCGCCGCCGCTTCCACCGGGATTTAACCGGGGCTTGGATGCTTTCACCTCCCGCTTCCACTTCGGGAGGGCATGTGCGCGGGGGAAGCGGGCCGCCCCCAGCGGAGCCCCCCCGCGCCCTGACTCCACGCTGAGGGGCTCGGCCGCCAGCCCCGTCCCGCCGCCGGCCCCGGAGGACGGGGAGCGCCCGCCCGCCCCGGCCCCCCCTGGCCGGTGGGTACCGGGCGGGGGGCGGCGGGTACCGGCAACTTGTGTTTAGCGTCCGGCGGTACCGCCTGGGGGGAGCCCCCCCTCTACCCGACGAGATTTGGGTTTAAACTTTGGGTTTTGGGGAGCCCCGAAGATGCCTTTCCACCCGGTGACGGCGGCGTTGATGTACCGGGGGATCTACACCGTCCCCAACATCCTCGCCGAGCAGCGCCCCGTGGAGATCCCCGAGGATGAGCTGGAGGGTGAGCGGGTTTGGGGGGCTGCGGGGGATCAGGGGGATCGGGGGGGATGAGGGGGACATCCCAGGGGGTTGCGGGGTGAGGAGGTTTGGGGGGACTGGGAAGTCCATCCCGTGGGATGCGGCTGTGGGGGAGCCGGGGTGCGCGTTCCCCCGGCGCCGTGGGGAAGCTGAGGGCGAGCGGGATGCGGATGGATGGAGAAGGAGGAGGAGGAGGAGAAGGAGGAGGGGAAGAAGGAAAGCTGAAGCGGGGAGGCGTGCGGGGGTCCCGGCCCCCCGTTTGTGGCAATATGACACAGCAGGGACCAGCGGTAGTGGCGGGGGGCCGGTTTCCCCTCCGCGGCGCGGGGGGGGTCACCCCCTCCCCGCTGTCATAATATGACAATGGCTGGTGGCGCGGGGGACCCGAGGGGTGGCTGTCACCCGTGTCACAGCCCGGGTCACGGCAGCTCCACGCAGTCCCGGTGTCACCGGACTCCGGCCGGGAGGAGCGGCCGGTGGGGCTCTGCCCACCCGTGCGATGAGAGGGGCCGAGCTCAGCTCGCTGCAACCGGAATGGCTTTTTCCACCCCAAAAGTTTGCCGGGGTGGCGGGACGGGCACTGGCGGTGCCCGGGTTTGGGGTGTCCCTGGGGAACGTGGGGGAAAGGGGTGCAGCACCCCCGGCTCCATACCCGGCACCAGGGGGGAAACTGAGGCACGGGCAGTGACCCCACACACGTCAGCCCTCTGCCTGGGGAGAGCACCTTTGGCCCAGCACCAAACCCGGAGCCCTCGGCATCCCCGTGGGGAAACTGAGGCAGGGAACCACAGGGCTGGGGGTGAGGGGAACCCCAAAATCCATTTGTGAGCCCCGAGCAGGCGCTCGCCCCAGTGTGCAAGGGCTGTGTGTGTGCGTGTGCAGCTCTGCAGGGTGTGCGTGTGCATTGACGTGCCTGTCACAGCCTCACTGCAGGGGCCGTGTGTGTGTGCACAGCCCTGGCACACCCCTGCACACCCTGCTGCGGGGTGCTTGCACATCTGGGTGCTCACACATCTGGGTGCTCACACATCTGTATGCACATGCACGGCCTCGCTGCAGGGTGGCTCTGTGTGTGTGCCAGTGTCACCGTGTGTGGCAGTGTCACCGTGTGTGTGTGCCAGTGTTTGTGTCACTGCAGCACGTGTGTGTGCCCATGCACAGCCTCGCTGCAGGAGCTGTTTGTGTGAGTGTGCACACGCACAGCGTCACAGCAGGACGGGCTCGTACACACAGCCCTGCTGCAGAGGGTGTTTGTGTGTCTGTGCACAAGTACAGCATGGCTGCAACCTGGGGGGTGTGTGTGTGTGTGTGTGTGTGCACAAGCACAGCTTTGCTGCAATGGGGTTGTGTCTGTGTGCACACACGAGTGCAGCTGTGCACGTTTTGTGTGTCTGTGTGTGCACACGCGAGTGCAGCTGTGCCTGTTTTGTGTGTCTGTGTGCACACACGAATGCAGCTGTGCACGTTTTGTGTGTCTGTGTGTGCACACACGAGTGCAGCTGTGCACGTTTTGTGTGTCTGTGTGCACACACGAGTGCAGCTGTGCACGTTTTGTGTGTCTGTGTGTGCAAGCGTGGCATCACCAGGATGTGGTTGTGCGTGTCCGTGTAAGTGCAGCACCGCTGCAAGGGGGGGCACAGGGGTGTGACTGCAGGGGGTTGTGTGTGCATCTGTGAGTGTGAGCACACACACAAATGCAGCTGTGCCGGGTGTTGGTGTGTGCACACACAGGTGCAGCACCTCTGCATCGTGGTTGTGCACATGCATGTGTGTGCACAAGCGCAGCACCACCGCAAGGGAAGTGTGTGTGTACATGCACAGGTACCTGGTGCAAGGTGTTCGTGTGTTGGTGCCCACACACAGGTGTATCTGTGCGAGGTGTCCGGGTGTGCACACAGGTGCAGCAGCCCTGCAAGGTGTCGGTGTGCGCTGCATCCGTGCGCATGCACACCACTGCAAGGGGGTTGTGAG